ATATACATATATATACACATGCATGAATATATATATATATACATATATATGATTAAGTGTATATGATTAACCTCACCACCTTACCTTTTATCTTGCGTACCTATATATGTTACATACACGTATATATATAATATACATATTTATAAGTACGCAAGATAAAAGGTAAGATAAAAGGTATATATATATATATATTTATAAGTACGCAAGATAAAAGGTAAGATGATGAGGTTAATCATATACACTTAATCATATATAATATATATATAAGTACGCAAGATAAAAGGTAAGGTGGTGAGGTTCTGGGAAGCCGAAGCTCCCCAGAACAGGGATAAAAAAATAGCTTCATAAGGGTTGAATTAGCTGTGGCCTCCCGGGGGATGGGGAGGAGTGCTTTTATCCCCTGGAGGTCAGAGATTACTAAGATAGTAAAAAGTTTGAACCAGAGACCGGGGTACTGCACCATAGTTCTTCAGCTGTTCTTTACGCCACTTCTAACAAATAAATCATTATTTGATATATTAATCATTATTCGATATAATCTGATATAACTCCGCAATCCAAGTATTTCTCGTGTTTCGGTAATGTAGCTATTTAGGTTGCAGGGTTATGTCAAATTCCATGTGTTCGTATGTGTGAAGAGACGTAGTTTTTTTTATACGCGTGTCTGTCCAAACATAACGGTAAGCCATGTTCAAAGAATTTGGGCACCTTAGCTGTCTTGAAATTCCAGGTGGCTGTACGTAAAGGGAAAAGTAAATGTTGTTTTTAGGTGTCCCTGCTCAAATACGGTCCTGAGCCACGCTCAAAAAATTTGAGCGTCCCACCTGCTTCGGTTGCGGAGTTACGTCAAATTTCAACTTTCGTACATATGTGAGACATGAAAGAGACGCAAAATTTGCTTTCACGTGCACCTGGCCGAGCGCCACCGTCGGCTGCGCTCAGAAATTAACAGCCCCTAGTTGCTTCAGTTCCGGAGTTACAAAACTATCTACGTGAGATTTTCACATGCTCGTATGTGAGATGCAAAGGGGCTGGAAAGCCCACTTTACTTACACGGGCATATCAGCGGGAGACAAGCAATACTACAAGCAGCTCTCTACAACTTCTCGATATCTTAAAACTGGTATCTACACCATTTTAAGTTTTGATGTGCACGCACGTGAGGCTGAATTTAAAATCTTTGAGTCAGACGTGGGCGGGTAACATCGTGAAGTTTCAGCCTTCTAGCTTGTGCTATTCTCGAAATCGCTTTCTTCCCAAAAGCTCTTATCTGTCCACACTTGAAAACCACGTGGACATGAGCAGTCATTTTGAGGACAGGGCCCGTACATAGGTGTAGATCAAGTTGCCAAAGCTTCAGGCTTTAGCTTTTGTAAGTTTCCAAATGACGCACACTCAGACATACACAGGGAGGGATAAGCAAACAACATCTCGACAATATGCGTTTTTGCAATGTATAGCTGCATAAAAAACTGCATGAAAGACGGTATAATATCATGCCAATAAGAGAAACGCAAAGTATAAAAGAAAATACTGCACTGATGGCGAGAAGAAATGCGAAAATGAAATAGTAGCTGGTCTAAGTAAAAAAGCAAGTGCCAACTAGAATTACTAAGAGAATCGTGATGAATCCGTATGGAGACCCGATGCTAAGTGTATAAGAGTCCACCGATACCAAACTAGATTATGCTAAGCTCTTCGTCTTGGACTCCATTATATCCAGTTCCTGTTATAATCATTTACACCATGTGCAAGCATTACCGCCCTCGGCTACTTCTCGCGTCGCAACGATGCCCTGCACACCATACATTTTGCAGAGAGTCTAACTGCTTATACAGACAAGACAGGGACTCCAAGCTCGCTTATCACCACTATCAAATTATTAAACATACTTTTATTGAATCCAAATCATCAGTAACATAGTTTCAAAAGCGAAAATCGCATACCAAATTTCAGTGTTTCCGGCTTCCTCCATGTTTACTTCGTCTTTATCGTCGTTCCCTAAATCCAGGTTAGAGAATTCCTCGGCCCATTTTATCCATTTTTCATTGCCTACGGGCAGACCACTGGTTTGTGCTTTCTGCGTTGTTGCTACATATTCGTCGGCCCAGTCCTTAGCCAGCTGTGCCGGATAAACCTGCTCCACATGTTCGTAAAGACTGGAAGTTCGAGGAGCAGTCATTGATACAGGAAACCCACGCTCACTGCTTGCAGGTCTAGCACTGGACTGCTCCTCTGCTGCTGCTGCTGCTAAATATTCATTGGCCCAGTCCTCGGCCAGCTGTGTTGGGGAAATCTGCCCCACTTGTTCGTGAAGATTGGAAGTTCGGGGCGCAACCACTGATACAGGAAACCCATACTCTTTTCCTACAAGTTGAGCGCTGGACTGTTTCTCTCCTGCTGCTGCTAAATATTCATTAGCCCAGTCCTCTGCCAGCTTTGTTGGGGAAATCTGCTCCACATGTTTGTGACGATCCCTAGTATCGGGCACATTTGTTGTTGCAGAAAGCACTTGTTCTTCATCGTCTACAGGTGGAACACTTGACTGCGGTTCTTCTGCTGCTGCAGAATCACCGACCCAGGCTTCGGCCAGCTGCCTCGGAGAAATCTGCTCCACTAGTTCGTAAAGATTGAAAGTTTCGGGAGCAGGAGTCGATAGAGTAAGCTGCTCGAGATATTCATCGCTCAGCTGCAACCACAGAAATCAAAAACAGCACGACGGCAAAAAAGATAATAGCTCAGCCCATAGCGCGTATGCTTCTGCATTAGCATATATGAGAAAAAGCATACTGACGACGCCCTGCTACTATCTGTGCTTACGTGTGTCACGCATTTTCAAGAGAAAAGCTAGAAAGCTAAATTCCTGGATAAGTAACTTCTATGAGTTTGCAAACTACACTCATAGTCGACATTCACTTATCTGCTATCATAGCTTGAGCCATTGCAAAGGCACGGTTACAGACGACAAGAGATCAGCTTATTTGATGGCACGGATGAAGATAAGTGCATATGAAAACTATTTCCATCAGAGGGGCAGCTTCGCTAACAAGTGCTTTCCGTGCTAAGCAAAATATAAGAAATGGAGGTGCGAGCTGAGGAGTCTGAGTGAAGAATCACAGTCATCCACATAAAATTACCTGTGAAAATGAAGACGGCAAAAAAGACATCCAGAAAGCCGATGACACTGTGGAAATATTCGCAGATCAACAAGCAAAAAATACCAGTTGGCTGGAGATTAAAAACCGCACATTCCCGCGTCTCTGGGTCAATTTGGGATCACACACATTAAACGTTTCTCATCAACTAAGCTCTTTTCTTTGCACTAGTCTCCTTTCTATAAATACCCCCTTTACCCTTCCCCTGTCGAGAAATAGGAATTACCCGAAACAACAACAGTGAGCGTGTGCTGCCCACTGTCCTTTTTTTGCTCCGCTTACTGTCTTAAGAGTAAGCATATTCGTCTCTTTGTGGATCACTCTGGCCAAATCGAGTTGCGCAGGGTGGTGAGCGACCGTCCTGCTTTTGCTGCTGATTGGATTTTTAAAGATTTTGTTGCTTTGCATGCATCATTTTGTGACGTGTGAACTAACGTGTAAATCGTTTGTTCAATAAATGGTTTAATAACCCAAATTTGAGGTTACTGGAATTGACGGCGCCGATTCGATCGAGACTGATTTGATATTTGACGGAACTACTGTGACGTCTGACCGCTGCATTGGTAGTGGCCAATTTTGAGCTGTCAACAAGTTCGGAGTCGCACTTCGACTGTGGAACCGGCAGAAGAGGAACGAAGACGAAAGTCTACGCTCCAGGAATTCAAAAGAAAAATTTGGTTTCCATTTCGTTTATTTTGTTCGGGGACTAGCTATCCCGAAATAATTTGAAGTCCCGACTAAACACCACTCCACCTCCTACCCGCCCCTTCCTTTCGCCCCATTTTAATTTGGCTTAATTTCTTACGTGCTTACGGCAAAATGTTACATTTCCTTGGCTGAATTTTGTATTTTTTTCAACGTATTTTTATCTTGCTGGCTGGATTTTGCGCTCCCTAAGGAAGAAATGCCTACTTAATCTGAGCTTCTGAATAAAATAATGGACGTCGTGTCATTTAAAACCAGAAAACTGGAATGACTTTTCCTAAAAAGCATTAATTTCTGAGTCACTACTGTTCCAGGCGCCTCTGCTACAGCTGCCTGCAAGTGAAATTTCAGGTCCCACACTATTAGAACCATGCAACCCAAAACAAAAGACCTTTGGCAGGAAATGTACAAACGCGCCACTTCTCTTATAAATAGAGTTACTTCCAAAAAAGTTACATTTTCTTTGGGCAACGTAGATTTCGAAATCGCTTCGCAAGCGGATTTATGATATTGGCGTTATATATTGATAATTGGTTCGCAAAGAAACTTAAAATAGCAAGCGGAAAAGCTTACAAAATTTAGTTTCTCTTGAAAAATCAGAGGATTTTTAACGACATACATTGCTTTTAGAAAAGGAATTCAAGAACAGAATCCACTGCTCCAATTTCCATCACCACTTCAGAAAATCAAGAATTTGACCGAAGAGTTATAGGCTGTAATGAAGATGCATGTAGAAGTAAGGAACTAAATCTCTCCTGATTCTTTCACTTACTATAATCTTTCAAAATTTGCATTTCAGCACCATAAGACAAGGCTGAATTCAGACCTGGTTTTAGCCTAGTCTTAAAGGTTTGGAACACAGGTGTATGAGGAAACAGTACAGTTTTAAGGATGAACAAGCCTTAAACTCACAGAGTTCAAATTTACCAGGGTTCTGTAAAAGACAGGTTTCCGGGGCTAAAGACTGGGCAGATCACTTTACATTTATCTAAGCAATGTGCGCTTGAACAATATAAGTTTAGATAACCTGACCAGCTGTCATTTCATAAGAAGTGCTCTCTTCCTGAAATTTGGCCTGCATTTTTCTCTCAAGATTCTAGCCTCTTAGCTTTTTTAAGAACCATTTATTGGACACTGCAGCAGACCACAAGACAAGCGCAGCAGCAGCATAACAATTTACGCACATGGGCAAGTGGAAATTTATAATTTGGTTTATAATTTTTTTATGTGTTACTATTATTAGTTTTTTTCGGATTAGATATTAATTTTTCCATAAAGTTGGAAAAGAAAGTACATTACTAGGAAGCTAGAAAGTGTGGGGAACGCAAAATCTGTTCATGTTAACCATTTGTCGCCTTCAGGAAATCACTCAATTCAATGGTGCACAACTCTGAGTTACAGGCCCTCTCAGAACAAATAATTGGCCAATGTACGGGCTGCCCGTACGAAAATGCGTTTTAAGCATAGTTCCCCACAGTTTTTGCCACCACCAGCACCGGCTTTTCCAGCAAATGCTTCTAGCTAAACAAATTAAGACTGGCCGCCAGAAATGTCAGGAAACACTCCCTTAAAATTTAAGCTTTCTAGCTTCCTTGGCTTCTGAGTTAGCAAATTATTTGAAAAAAACTTTCACAGTCCCGAACTTGGGTACCACACATACCCGGTGTCTGGGTTTGAGCTCATTAAAACTTACGTAGACAGAGAATATCCCCTTAAAATTACAGCGTTCTATCTTTTCAGTTTCCCGAGTTAGCAACTTACCCAAAAAAATTTTGGCGGGCCCGTGCGCGGGTACCACGCATACCCGAGGGCCGGGTTTGGACTCATCAATACCTACTTGGGCGGGGAACACATCCTTAGAACTCCAGCTTTCTAGTTTTTCAGGTACTCGACTTAGCAACTTACTCGAAAAAAATTTTGGCGGGCCCGTACGTGGTTACCACGTGGATAAGAGCACCCATTTCGGAGATGGAGGCCCATACACGCATGTAGACTAAGGTCCCCAAGTTACAGCCCCGCAGCTTTGTGGGTCTCGTGATGAAAAATTGGTACAAGTCGCGCAGCGCACACACAGACACACACACACAGACCTCCTGTCATTATACGTTTTCTTCATTGCATAGCTGCAAAAAAAAAACCTATAATAGTCGGGCAGCACTACCAATGACTATTATTACGCGTGTTGTATATGGCAATCACATTTTGTGAGAGCACCACAAAATCCAAAACTGACAGAGGAAAAAAGTAAGACGAAATTCGTGCCTCAAGAAAACTTTATCGGACCTTACCTAAATAACACAGGGATTTTGTACTGACAACTAGTGCTCTAAATGCTTTTTTTCGTAAACAACATTATGTTTAAATGCATAAAATACCCTGATGTTGAAGATCTTATTCAATGAGACTGTGAATACAGTGAAGGAGACTGGAATACAAATCTGTGTTGGAGAAATCAATTGCATTAAGTAAGCAAATTGGTCTCATTTCGACATGGGACCGGTAAATCAACGCATTAATTTCACGAACAGTTAGACCCCTCCCCCTCCTCCCCGGGACAAACAGGACAGAAGAATAGCCGTATGGAAACAATCGGAAGAAAAACAGCACGGCGAACAGTATTTATCAAGTTACGAGACAGGGTTCCCAATATCAACTTTGAAAACTTTTAAATTCCACTATTGTCAATACTATACCTGCCGAGGGAAAAAAATTGATTGTGGCCCAGTGAACTCCAAAATATCGTAGAGCTGTCAACAAGTTCGTCCCTGAGATGAGTGACACTCAGTAAAGCAAAAGAACATAACAAAGGCCGCTAATGCACTGGAAGGGTTCGTTTGAGCGGTTATCTAAAATTATGAGGGTTAGAGAGGTGCAAAATGGAGAAGTTGTCAGCTGCAGCGGGCGTTTGAAAAACGACAGTCGATTAAAATGCTGATATAGTTAGAGTTAAACCCAGGCTGGAACGCACCGGGCGGGCCCGTGCGATCATGCGTTTTTGCACCGGACTTGAA